CCCTGACTTCGTGCAACTCTTTGACTCGGCCGAAAGACTCGAAGAAACGCTTCTGGACAACATTGGGCACTTCAGGCTGTGCTTCTGCTGCGAATTGAACAGAGTTGTTCGGAACGCCTGGCGGGTCGATGAAAGGCCTTCGTATTTCGAGCGTAAGACGTAGGTGCTGGTTCAGCCCAGGGTGGCTTAGATCCGAGTAGAACCACATGGTGGTGAAGAGTTCGATGTCTTGAACAAGTACCACGAACTTGATTGGCACGAAGTTCAAGTGGTATTGGGGGGCGTCAATCAGTACGCCGAACCGGTGGTCCTGGAACTTCTCCGCACTCTCGCCCGTGGTGATGAGAGGGACATTGCCTTGGTCAGCGACATGGTGCTGAGCCTCCGGCCATGGCGTCTCTACCCGCACAAAGATGTTCTCTTTCCTGAAGACCTTCCTTGCTTCGTAATACACCTGGCGATTCACGAGGAAGAGCTTCAGGTCGAAGTTGTAGGCCGCTTGCCCATCTTCCAGCTCTTGTTTGATATAGTCGGACTTTAGCACGAAGCCATATACAGACTCTCGTATTTCTGCGGGGAGATCAAGGAACCGGAATGGTTTGCTGTCGCCGAGGGTGGACATGGCCGATGGTTGAGGAGGAAGAGTATCCAGAAAGGCGTTGGTTCTTGCCCTCTGTCAGCTAGATAAGAGCAGAGGTGTGTTCTAGTAGGAACAATACACGAGTAGTAATAAACGACGCAGACCGACGTGGCTCGACAGATAGACACAAGAGTTGTGCTTTTGTTGTCATGAACCTAGGTTCGACGAAGGGTGGGGTCAAGAGCCGTCGCAAGTTGCATGAATGCACGGGATTCGGAGATAGGGGAGCGGGCCTCGGAGATAATGAGGGTATCGAGGATACTCACGGCAATTGTTGTTTGCAAGAAAAGGACCACCCAGGAGCCCGTATATATAGTAAGAGGATATAGGTAGACACAAACTGCAATAGTATGACTAAACGGATTCAAAAGAAGGAAGTGTGTATCAAAATATTTCAAAATACTGTGCAAAACCGTTCGCCAGCCAAACCCGTTTTTTTGGTGTGCGAATCACCTTCGTACTTCATTGTAAGGACGCCTTTGAATTTTGGGATAGCAGCATAATGAGAAAGCTTGGTATTCGATTCAACGAGAAAGCTTGATATTCAGTTCGGATTTTTGTATTGCACCACACTCTTTACGTTCATAGCTATGCAGGCCCTGGAGCAACCATAGAGTTAAAACCACCCATTATCTGTTTGGAAAAGAGAAAGCAGGCTTCTGAAAGCCATCCAACCAATCTATATGTTAAGCCTCATTATGAAATGCCACAGTAAGCTTATTAAACGAAATCCTTAATGCAAACCTAACCCATATGCAATAACGAAAACCAGACGACCAATCTTTGCAGAGGAAATGCTGAGAATCAAAACGCCGAAGAAGATATGAAAAAAGAAAGCCTACACCCAGAGCAGGAAAAAGGAGACCCCAGCCAAATGCATATGTTCTATCCTTCGAAGATGCAACTTTCAACGCCAACAATGCACGTGCCTAAACATCTGTCTCCCGAGCGCTCCGACGCCGTTGTGGCCTCGAGTCAAAATAGTCCCCAGCTGTGACATGTGTATCCGTGTCTTTCTCATCATCAACCACTTGTGTCTCATTCTCGCAAGGCGCTTCCCAGACGGTGAAGAGGTTCGCGCTCGGTTCTTGCCATGTGTGTCTTCTCCCAGATAACGTTTGACTCGGCCTCTTGTGCCTCCGCTTCGAGTCCGACGTTTGACCACGCGGAAAGTTCTCACTCTTCGGCGATGGCGCGGTGATGATGATGCGTGGGATATTGGCCGAGTCGATGGGTGATATATCATCTTCATCCTCTTCGAGAATGGCGTTATTAAAGTAGCCGGTGTTCCACTCTTTGGGTTTGTGCACAGGAGCGTGGTAGAGTGCGTGCAGTAGGATGTGATGCCTAGCAACATACTTTGCCCATTTCTGCGCCATGTTCTCTTTGAACTCCTCCACTCGTGAGCTTGTGGAGTCGGTGGATGATGGAAGGATGCCGGCGGAGAAAGACATGGCTTCGTCATCGAAGGAGGAGGTGTCGTCTTCTTCACTCACTGGCGAGAGGAAATGGGCCATGGGGTCTTCATCGATGTCAGGTAAAGCTTGCTGGACATTCTTGAAGCTCTTCCTGTCTGTGCTTGGGGAGATGGGAAGTGATTGATAATGCGGCGGAAAGGAGAGGCTCCTGTGGTGATGCCTTGAGGTGTTTGGTTCGAGATTTGGTGAGCTTGCCATAGGCGCTGGGGCGGGTTTCTCGCGATCCGGCGACATTGAATCAGAGCGCTGCTTAGACTTCGCCTTCGAAGCAGATTGCGAAGCAGAAAGAACCCATGATGGAACGACGGTGATGGTATGGTAAAACTTGCTCGAAGTTGGTGACGACGACATGCTTGACTGCAGTCCCGGCTCGAGGCCGGCCGATATGGAAGAGAGCGAAAAGGTGAATGAAACGGGAGCCAACAGAAGGCTGCCGCAAAGTACCAGATGGAAGAAGAGAAACGCGGTACTATGATCGAGTTTTGCTATGTCGCACAACAGAAGGGGAGACTATGGCATGTTTCTTTATACTTATGCATGACCAGCCCAGCAGGCATACGCGCATGCAGTGCAGAGCCGCGTGGGTGGCGGGGAGGAGGGGGATGATGAGTAGAGGGTGTTGCGGGCGACTTTATCGATGATTCACGATGTGAGACAGGGAGGAAGCTACTGCTGCCTCACGGGCAAGTTATTGCAAGAGAACAGAGGTCAGACATATGTAGTGAATATTGGAACCTGAGGAATGTGAAAAAAGATACTAGTCTGACGAATGAGCAGAATGAAATGGACTGATCATGCAAACGCCTGCAAAGGCAGGGAAGAGCTGGAAATGCAGGAACGCTCAGCACTCCCAGAGGTTCACAAACCTCTTTCGACGTGGACGGGTGCGTGATGAGGCCGCCTGTGGGGGAACAGGGCGACTTGATAGGGCGCTGGGGGGCTGTACGAGTCTAGGCTGGGAGAAAATGGACTGAACAGGTAATCGGAGAGTGTGAGCCTTGTGGCTCTAATCTACGGCCGACGCGTGATGCAGTTGCTGGTGTGCTGAGAAGGGTCCGGTGTGGTCATCTGCGGTAGCCTTTCCAAGCTTGAGAATGAAGATGCCCACTGGTCGGGATCATCTGCTTTTCGCTTATCGAGCATGCGTGTTCATGGTGGCTTGCGTCGAAAATCGAGGTTGAGAAATGGCGAGGCACTAGAGGTAGTGGGATGAGAGAGGTGAAGGTAGGTACCTACTGTGGTAGAAGGTGGGATGCGGAATGGAGCTCAGCACGCTAGTCCACATGTGGCTGGTACATCAGACGAGAGCGTTGCCTGGTCGGCCGCTCCGACTCCGACGCTGTGAGTTCATTGCTGTCTACTTGCTGTGTTGCACCCTTTCAAGTTTCATTTTTGCACTTAGATAATCCATCAATTAGGGGTGCAAGATCGTCCGGCAAGTTTGCTGCCGAATGCCCCTGAAACTATTGAGGCGGTCAGCAAGAGTTCGCTCCAGTCTCCACGAGGATACGACGTTGACCGGAGGAATCCTGGAATCGACTGGTAAGGCTGACCGGAAAATGACATTTTGCTGACGGGTGAGAGTTGTAGGTACGCACATGGCCTTCAAGTTCCATCATATCGCACTTGATCTCATAGTGGTCGAAATAACCCTAAGGACCCCGTTTTCTCATCGTAACCGAAGACCAATTCTTAAAACTCGAAAAAAACAAAAGCTCCTGGATCACTCCCGAACATCACCAAGATAGATTACTTTCTTGAGTGGTTAGAGTCATCCCCACAAGCCGGCGTGTATTTGACAGGCTCTGGTAGCCAGCCACAGTGTCTGAGCATCCCTTCCTTCATCGTGCTGGCGTTAATTTCTTCTTTTTCGTTATGCTATCGTAAACAAAGATTATTACATTGACGGTAGAGAGCTTCGAGCTCTCAACATATGCTAGATCTCGTTCCGCAAATTATATCACTTGCTCGAGTTGTTAGTGGAATTGTTGATTGCTCCACACTCCATTGTCTGCGCGCCGCACACCGTCCACGCGCATTTGTGGAAGGGTTGAAAGCAGCGCCGTATACAGATCGAATCAACAGGAAATACTCAGTGGAGGGAACGGACGGATTGAATGGAAAATTGAATTCTGGGAAGGCCTGCGTTGTATTGGCTGTGCGCATCTCGACAATCCCCGCGCAGTGCAGAACTTCATCTTCGAGGGATTGATAATGTCGTCCTCCCCGTTGGTGCTCGAGAAAAAGATCTCTTGAATTACTCCCGAGATCATTCAAAATGGAGACCATTTATTTAATGGCATGGCATTCTCTTCAGAGTTTGCAAGACCGACAATGTCTTTGGCCTGCTGTGCCCGGCCACCCCCCCCCCACTCACGGCGCCGCGTGGTGTCGCAATCAAGTTGCCCGGGCCGACTCGGAGCCGACATCAATCGCAGCTAGGTCGGCGTTGATTGGCGGGCTGCGATCTCAGGGTCTCAACGCCATCGGCTAGCGCCGATTGATGCCAAGGCTCAGATGCGCGCGCGCGCTTCGCGAATATTGCTTGGCTTCCAATCAAATTTGGGTACATGCCTTGATGTACCTTTCAGACCGAGTATGCGAAGGATTTATCAAATTGAGATTGATCTTTGTTGCGTGAAGTGCCCTCGAAGTGCGGGTTCCCGGATCTTGAACACCTGTCCATTTGAACACATATGTAGCATTTGAAAGATAAAATCTGTTCCAACAGTCTTGGAGAAGACACGTCATAAGTCATGTAAGCGTGCTCTGCCCGAAACCCGAGTTCTCGCCGCAAAACTGAGCGTTTTCCCGCCAACTGCCGAAAGACCCCCCCTTTAGTTATTCTGAATATAAACACGTTAATTTCTTATACCATTAAAGCGTTGGTGGTCTAATGGTTAGGATTATTGCCTTCCATGTCACGTGAGCGAGCAATAGGTTCGGGTTCAATTCCCGGCCAACGCAGACGTTTTTTTTTACTTTTTTTGAACTTGATCGAATGATCGCAGGATCTCTGTTTTTTGCGCCCCTGCCTTACTTTTTGTACCTCTGCAAGGACCAGAGTACGCCTCCCGTGCATAAAATATCAGTTTCTTGCTCTGTGGTAGGGCAGGGCAAAAGAAAAACGACAAATACCTCGAAAATCTCCCCGGATTGGTTGGCCCCTCCGCTCAAAGTGCCTCGACACATTGTCCGGCTATGCAATGGACAAGTCTTCGTCAAGATGACCATTTGAATTCACAGATAGAACTACATTATGTGCCCTGCTCAGCATCAATTCAGTTCCAGTGGATTGCCCACACATCCGGAGCACTGGGAAGTGAACAGCGTCAGGCGAAGCATATTCCGATTTGTTATTACGACTGGTTTCATGGGACAAGTTTCACAAGTTAAAGAGTTTTATCTTCAGGAAGGACCGCAGTTTTAAGCAGGATTGAGCGTCTTCATTCATTCCAAAAAAAATAAAAACTTTGCTGCATGGTCTCCCAGTCCGAATCCCAGATTGCCAAGCCAAGACTCGTATACTGTCGGGAAACCTTTCTATGCATAGAAGTAGATAGTGGCTAGACACTCACGAATCACTTGACACAAAGCTCGCCGCTGTCGATGGTGGACAGTGGAGCCTCTGTATGTCTTTGGATTCGTGTTGGTTGTCTTGATTGTTCATTCAAGGGGGCTATCGAAGTGTATATACAAAGGAGACGGAGAGTGATGTGGCGCGAGCTAGCTCGCGCCACACTGCTTGGTACTGTGATAACCAATACACGTGATTCCCATTGAATAGTTACCGACATATACAAACAAACACTCTCTTTTCTATGAAAAGACTACGTTTTTTTATTTCTCTAATCTACTTATTTAAACTCTGAGCCGGGTTCTGTGTACTTCTCAATCTTTTTGGGCCTTCAGCAAAACTCATACGAGGACCTCCTACCAATCGATAAAACATCAAAGAAGGTCAAAGCGGCAAAATTGCTCTGCGTTGGCCGGGAATTGAACCCGAACCTGCTGCTTGCTCACGGTCACGTGGAAGGCATTGATGTTCCATTGAGATCGTTAATGAAATGGGGAAGATACGAAGCAAAGAGGAATACGGACAGCAAAACGTCACCATCGCATCCACCTTGGTTCCAATGCTTAAGCGTCTGACGATTCACTGGGATTGCTATAAGCTCGAGGCCGACTGGCCAGCAAAGGTTTCTCGAATTCTCTCATACATGGTATGACAAGAAATTATGAGAACAGATCAAGCCTCCATAGCAATAAGTGATCCAAGTGCTAACGTCTGAAATTTCATCGTGTACCTTAAGCACCCGCCAATAGGGGGGTGCTCGACTTGCAATTTTCTGTGGATGACATGCATGCTGCTCGCAGTGGCTAGTAAGCAACGTACAAGGAGTTGGGCGAAAAGGGGAATCCGGTCACATGTTCATTCCACACGGACTGTGTCGATTTGATCGCAATCATAGCATACTTATCTATCTGACATCAAGTCAAGGATAACGCTCAAAAGAGGTGCAACCTGAAATGGTGTTGGTACTGAAAGTAGGTAGTTTCCATACTGGAGTCTCCGACCAGTTCAAGGAGAGTCACCACTATCACAGTCCTCCTCCCATTCCTCTCTCATTGGATCAATTTGGGCGAACTGTTTCTTCATGCCTACTGTCACTTCGTGAATGACCTGATCCCGAAACCAAACTCCCCACACAAAACATTCCCGGTTGTCTCGCCCAGACGAATCTTTCAGACTTTGATATCGTAACGGCCGTTATGTTCAATGCACTCTGTTTCAGTCATGCTCCTGGAAATCTCTCCTGTCCTCGCCTGGGTGCCATATTCTCCTAGTCTGTTGGCTCTTTCGGATAGCTCACAGCGCCCTCGGGAATCGGTATGACCGCACTTTCCGTCCATATATGATTTGCGCCAGCCCAATCCAGTCCCTCAATGCAACCCGCCTTCACGCTCACATATGTCCCTTTTGATGACGCATGTAGAACCCTTACGCCGCAGCTCTTGCAGAAATAGCATTTCATGGTGTAGCCTTTCTCGGTGGGGCGAGTGTAGCAGGATACGGGCAGGTCAGGCGGGAGCTCGAAGGGTGGAAAGATTGCGGATGTTCCAAAGGCGCTCGCGCTCTGCTTCTGGCATTGGGTGCAGTGGCAGTGGTAAAGGTTGAGGGGTTTCTCAAGTGGAGTCTTGAAGCGGACGGCGCCACACTGGCATGCGACATCCATGCTGGATATTGTTTGTAGCGATGGTTGATAAGGACTCGCCTTCCCGAGTCCACCGGGCCGAACGTGGAAAAGCCGTCAGCGCATGCACGTGATCGGGAACATATCGGCTGACTAAGACAAGCCCAGACGGAAGTTCCTCCGCGACAACTCCAATCCAACTTTACTTCAACGACAACTTCAACGACAACTTCAACGACAACATCCCGTCTACATTTTGTCAGGTCCTCTGGAGTGTTTGCATGCTCTCGCCGCTGTCCACCCTACCTACAAACTTGCGTGCGCAATGATGGCCTACGAACATTGATCCCATGGTCTTTCGTTAAAACTTGGAACCGACGCGTCTACTCTCGACGCGTAACACCGTCGTTCTTCGACGACAGCTTCCACCGCATCTGTTGAGTATACTGAACCTCTGTCTGAAAACAGGTTTCCCTTTAGCGAAGCCAGTCAACACCTCATGACTCCAATCAACCTTTGAGTCATCTTCAGTGCTCGGAGCGGGCTGTGCTGCAGCGAGGCACAGCGCCCAGTCATAGTGCCTTCTCGTTCCCCTTTTTCTCTCCAATCTCCAACTCCTTCATTCTATTCAAGTTCAAGAATCACCTTTTTTGTTACGTTGCTCTCGACATGTCTTCCCCGACCCACCTTCTGGGTACCACTCTCGAAGGGGGAGGCCAATTGCTGAGAATAGCATTGGGCGTCTCCGCTCTCACTGCAATTCCAATACGCATCACCGAGATACGCGGCAAAAGATCTGGCGGAGGTGGTCTGAAGCTGCAACATCTAACCGCTGCTCGGTGGCTTGCTGCAGCATCTTCGGCTGATTTAACCGGCGGAGAGGTTAAAAGCAAGACACTGGAGTTTTCGCCGGCGTTAGAGGTTCGTAACGCCTCAAAACTCGGTCCCAGGATGCTGAAAGCCACAGAGAAGCCCCGAAACTCCGTCTTCAACGCAGTCCGTGATTGATATTGGGAGCCCAGGCAGCTGTTTTCTTGTTTTTCAAGCACTACTCCCCTTCATTCTCTTCTCCAAGGCGAGCTCCTCCGAGATTGCAGAGACGACATACATCACAATCAAGGGGGGTACGAACGTGTCCTTATCTCCTTCTTTCGAGTATATTGAACAAGTGCTACTTCCGACGCTTTCCAAAATTGGGTTGCCGCCCGTGGAAATTGACTTGAGATCAAGAGGATGGAGCACTGGAAGAGCAGAGGTCGGCAGCATCACTTTTAGGGTCAATCCACTCCCGTCCGGAACACATCTTCCGGCCTTCACATTGAAAGATCGTGGACCCATCAAGCGGGTTCGTGCCACGGTGCTCGCACCGAAATCGTACGAATGGCAAACCAGGCGAGATCTGGAGAAATCTCTCTCTCAGAAACTACCTGGAGTCGAATTAGACTTCCGACTTTCCCCTAGCAGCCATGACAAAAGACTCTATCTTCTTCTCGTGGCCACTAGCGGCAATGGGCATCATCTCGGCCGCGATCTTTTGTACGACAGGAAGATAGTTTCCATTCCTGACGCCATTTCACGCCTGGTGACGCAAGTGGTCGACGAACTGATGGTGGAAATTGAGCATGGAGGTTGCGTAGACGAGTATATGCGCGATCAATTGGTCGTGTTCCAAGCGTTGGCCAAAGGCAAGAGCATGGTTGATGCCGGCGAGGTAGAGGGAAAAGTTGTGAAGCCGAGTCTTCACACTTTGACGGCCCATTGGGTTCTAGAAGAGCTTTTAGGGGTGTCTTGGGATGAAAACGGAAGCTGTGAAGGCATTGGATTGGTCGCGGGAGAGAAGTACGCCGACCGGAAGCAGAATGAAGTCACTGACTTGAGCGCACAATGGGATAGCTTGCAAGTCTGATGCGGTCAGTATACCGCTCTCTCGGATCATCGCCTGGTGGACACCGAGGGGCGGGCCGTCAACGTTATTGCCTCGTGGGCTCGGCCAGCGTTGACTACGCCCTAGGCTATTGTTGCTTCGGACGGTTCCGAGCGTTCAGGGCATGACACCAGAAGAACTCGTCAAGCTTGACAAGTGAGGTAAGACGTCGATACTCATGACTCTCGCGCAAACTTGCTAATTGCCGTCTGGTCTGATATAGGCAATGCCTAGTCCTTGGACTGGCTCGTGATTTGAAATGGCCTCGACTCATTCATGAGTAGATAGCCCAGGAATTTATGCGGTTATCGATTCGTTTTCTCAGCATATATCCAAATCATCATGACACTACTGGGTTAAAAAGAACGGCGGCTCCTTCAGACCCTCATGCGCAACGACGTAGATCCCAGGACGACAACACTGGAGTGCATATGCAGTTGAAATGCAACGCGACGAATTGCTGCCAAGCCGCAAGTGGCAACTGCCGCAGGGAGCCGCAATGCCATTTCAAGGAAATCCCTATTTCGCTGAACCTGCAGTTCCCAGTTTATCCGTTATGCTGCCGCACCTGCACCTTCTATTGACGCTACGCGACTTGCAGATGGCCCTTTCGTCATCACCGAAATGTACCACGGCGCCTTTCAAGGCTTTAACCCAAACCCACTCACGCTGCTTGTACCCAGTCGGGTTCGGGAAATAGCTAGTCTTGGGGATAATTAGAATGGACAGACCCCACTTGGCGCCGAGGGCCACGAGGGAAAAGGCCTGCTGGATCCGTTCCAGACATCTCGAAAGCACGTGCTAAGTGCTGATCTCCAGAGCCCAGTTGAAAGGGCTCTTACTTTTTA